GTATCTCATTTAGATCTGGAGCTACATCAGATGGACGTGAAAATAGTATTTTTGAATGGAGATCTTGAAGAAGAAGTATACATGAAGCCTGAAGGATTTACCAGTGATAAAGGTAATCGCATGGTTTGCAATTTAAGGAAATCTATATATTGGCTAAAACAGGCTTCCCATCACTGGTATTTGAAGTTTCACAATGTCGTTACTTCATATGATTTTATAGAAAATATTATTAACCAGTGTATATATCTTAAAGTCAGTGGGAGCAAATACATTTTTCTAGTCCTATATGTAGATGACATTTTAGTTGCAAACAATGATTTGAGATTGCTACATGACACAAAACAATTTCTTAGCCAAAACTTTGAAATGAAAGATATCGATGATGCCGTTGGCATAAAGATTCAAAGAGTCAAATCTAAAAGGCCATTAGAATTGTCTCAGAAGGCCTACATTGAAAAGGTTTTGGAAAAACTCGGGATGAAGGATTGTGCATCAATTGTAGCACCTGTTGTTAAAGGTGATAAATTCAATCAGAATCAGTGTACATTAAATGAATTGGAAAGAGAGCAAATGGCTTCTATACCCTATGCTTCCACTATTGACAGTTTGATGTTTGCAAAAGTTTGTACTAGACCCGACATTGCATTTGCAGTTGGTGTACAACGTAGATATCAAAGTAATCCGAGTATAGAACATTGGAAAGCTGCCAAAAAAGTGATGAGGTATCTACAAGGAACTAAAGACTACAGACTCGCATGCAAACATTCCGACAATCTTGAAGTTTTTGTATATACGGATTCAAATTTTGCTGGATGTGTAGACACAAAAAGGTCTACTTCATGATATATTTTTCTTCTAGGTGGAGGAGTTGTATCTTGGAGAAGCAACAAGTAGACTATAATTGCATCGTTTACCATTGAAAACATAATTCATTGTTTGCTTTGAAACTACAACACAGGCATTATGGTTCTAGTCCTATATGTAGATGACATTTTAGTTGCAAACAATGATTTGAGATTGCTACATGACACAAAACAATTTCTTAGCCAAAACTTTGAAATGAAAGATATCGATGATGACGTTGGCATAAAGATTCAAGGATTCAAATCTAAAAGGCCATTAGAATTGTCTCAAAAGGCCTACATTGAAAAGGTTTTGGAAAAACTCGGGATGAAGGATTGTGCATCAATTGTAGCACCTGTTGTTAAAGGCGATAAATTCAGTCAGAATGAGTGTACATTAAATGAATTGGAAAGTGAGCAAATGGCTTATATACCCTATGCTTCCACTATTGACAGTTTGATGTTTGCAAAAGTTTGTACTAGACCCGACATTGCATTTGCAGTTGGTGTACAAAGTAGATATCAAAGTAATCCGAGTATAGAACATTGGAAAGCTGCCAAAAAAGTGATGAGGTATCTACAAGGAACTAAAGACTACAGACTCGCATGCAAACATTCCGACAATCTTGAAGTTGTTGTATATACGGATTCAGATTTTGCTGGATGTGTAGACACAAAAAGGTCTACTTCATGATATATTTTTCTTCTAGGTGGAGGAGTTGTATCTTGGAGAAGCAGCAAGTAGACTATAATTGCATCGTTTACCATTGAAAACATAATTCATTGTTTGCTATGAAACTACAACACAGGCATTATGGTTGAGAAATTTTGTCAAAAGTTTAAGAGTTGTCGATAATATAGAGAAGCCTTTGAAGATTTATTGCGATAATTCGGCAGCATTTTTCTTTTCAAGAAATAACAAAAATGGAAGCTGAAGCAAACATATCTACATAAAGTATCTAGTTGTCAGAGATCATATAAAGAAAAATGAAATGGTCATTGAGCATATCAAAACAGAACTCGTGATTGCAGATCCTTTGACTAAAAGGCTTGCCGGCTAAAGTTTATAAAGCTCATGTTGAGAATATTGGACTTGCGTGCTCAATATGATACTCTGATGTTTGGTTTTAAGATTGTTGTTTTTGCTTTTGAAACAATGTTATTAGTGCACTTAAATTTTGTAATTTGGATATCTATTGTGGTTATTAAAGTTTGAACCCTGAATGACATATAGGAAGTTCTTTCATAAAGTAAAATACTCTTTAGAGGTGATAATACCTGTAATACAAGGAAGAAAATATTTGATTATTAAAATGTCATGATTCAAGTATTGTGAATTTTTACCTGAGTAGGTTATGGTAGTTTCAGCATATGGTCATATTAAGTACCTAGTTTAAAGTTAACCGTTGAACATATGGACCAAGTGAGAGAATGTAAATCGGTTACGGTCAATATAAAGTTAAATAAATTTAAAGTTTAAATAGTGGGTTAATTAACTGCCTAGATAGTTTCCCATTTGGTTATCGGAGGGAAGTTATCGTAGGAAAAACCACCCACTTTCATGATGAAAGAAAGTTGTAGTGGTTGTCTTTATATATATGTCAAAGGGTCCCTAACCAAACCCCTACAAAATTCCATACGAGATTTCTCTTTAAAAGGTGAAAGTCTTGTGTTTATTTTCATCAAGTTAAAGGGGTTATTAAGTGAGTATCGGCTAGAAGACGTTTGGTGCTTCGATAACTCATTTTTATTGCAGATTTTTTTAATTAGATCTTGAATAACATGTTAATAAAGAATCAAATCCACAAATTTTAAATCCACTCACATTTAAAAAAAACACATTTATCTCCATAATTTCTTATTTCTCCATTGTCTAGAACAAATCATTGCATGCCTATCAATCTATTTTGCTTAAATAAAATAATTTACCTAAGGAACACCATAATTATTGGTAAAAATGTAATAAACTAAGGAAAAAATAAAATAAAACAAAAAAGAATAAAGAACATTTTTCAATTTTGAAAAACAAGAATTCACATATTTACATCCCACGAGAGAATAGTGGACGGTCAGAACCAGGCTGGCAAATTACTACCCTCTTAACATCACGTGGGTTGCACCCTTAAATCCTAAACCATATTTTGTAATCTTATGTGTATAAATTCAATTATATCTTTCACCTTTAATTTGTTTCAGAGTGAAACTTACTAATGTTCATTTCAGACCATTCATTGAGTTTGGCGTCAAATCGTACGTATTTGTGTGCCAATACATCAAAGTTAAACCATCAAGATTTTCAATGAAATCCTACAACTTGGCAAACATATAAATGGAATTTTCAGTTAAAAAATGAATGACGAAATGAGAAGTCGTTTGAACCAACTATTTTTGAAGTTCAATAATGAGTTTAAAATAAATTAATATTCAGTGACCAAGGTGACGTTACCGTAAAAAGTTCAATGGCTATTAGTGAAATTAACCCATTCAATTATACGAATGAGGTTGCATTGAATTCATTTTTTAAGGAATCCATTAGATTGGGATAGTGACTCTAAACGCTTACCATGAAGTAGAGATTTCAAACATATTAAATCTAATGGATACTTCGTAAAATGCATCATAAATAGAAGCTAGATATATACTTTACATTTTAAGACGAGTAAGCTTTTAATTTATTTTAGTCTTTTATGTTTTTGAAAGTCAGAAATATCTGAGTAAATTGTTTGAACAATCACTGAACTTTAACATAGTCACGACTTACTCACTGAACTTCAAATTGCCTCTAAATGGTCACTGAACTTTCATTAATTGCACCACATCCAACACTCAGAGGGCAGTGGGGTGGGCAATTGGAATCAAGTTCAGTGACCATTTAGAGGCAATTTGAAGTTCAGTGAGTAAGTCGTGACCATGTTAAAGTTCAGTGAGTGTTCAAACAATTTACTTCAACTTTTCCTAGTATCGTCAATTTATCAAGAAAAAATAACAAAGGCTTGTGATATCTATAAAATAAGGCAAATCCCGTCTCGTCCATTTCTTATATTCATTCTATCCAGTTTCTATGATTGGATTGACCATCGGAGTACAAATAGTCATCGCACAATTTTGGGATGGTGACATTTGCATCTCGATAATGTGTTCTAATGTACAGGTAATTCCTAGATGGAGTGATCAAAATTCTATTAACCACTCGATGTACAGATTCTAGATAATCAATGCTCATTTTATGCTTCACTTTCCTTCTTCCTTTCCTCTATGGGAAATGCTACATGTACAATGTTGGATTACAACATTGAGTTACAACCTCTCACAAAAGAGGTGGGTCCCGCGATTAAAATAATAGTGGACCCCACCTCTCTTGTGAGTAGTTGTAAACCAATGTTGTAATCCAACATTGTACAAATAGCATTATTCTTCCTCTATTTGTTTCTCCTCTCGTGTTTCCATCCAAAATTTCCCTTGTACAACAGTTGAGTCACACAATAACCGTCGCCCAGAGTCCACCAATATATAAACATACATGGAGATAGAATACACATAGTGAGGGTGAGGTGGGGTTTCTATCATTAACATTAATATCATCTCCGTGGATTTCAGCGTTTTTTATTATTAGTTTCAAGCAAAGGCCTCCACACCCGCGCTCAAAAGCAACAATCCGTTGATTATTTTTAAAAATCCACATTTTTTCATTTTCTTTGAGAGAGAGAGTTTCAAACTTTTAGACAGCGAGAAAGCAACTCTCATCATATTTTGAACCAATCGATTCTATTTTTTAAAAAATTCGATATACATATACTTGGATTGCAAGTTCTATACTCTTCTTTTTCAAATCTCGAGGCAGGTATTAAGGTAGAGATTTATCAAGTTTTGTGTATAAAAATCTTGAAATAGAAGTATAGAACGTATTTTCTTTTTTCTTCAGAAAGTGAAGGACAAAGGAAGGAGAAAAAGGGTGGTATCCTAGGCAAAATTTTGTTTCAAGGCGTGGGTAAAAGCCCAACTGTATAGTTTTTATCGATGCTGTTCCGTTTTCAAGTTTCTGTAAAGAGAAAGAGGCAAAATAGGTGATCTTTTGAGTGTCTTGTTTTTTTTTTTTTTTTTATATAACACTCACTCAAAAAGGATTTACATGCAAGAGAGGAGAGAAATAAACAAATCATGCAGAGTATGAAGAAGAAGATGAACAGTACTAATACTAATGGTAATGAGAATAATGGTGAAGTTCCAAAGCAGAAGGAGAGACATATTGTTTCTTGGTCTCAAGAGGTATTTTTTTTCGTTTATCACTTATTTAGAGATGATTTTCATCTAGTTCTTCTGTTTAAATTATCACGTTCTTGGTTAATTTCTTGAAGGAGGATGATATTTTGAGAGAGCAGATTAGGGTTCATGGCACTGAAAAGTAAAATCTTCATTCCTCTGTTTATGCTTTATTGTAATATTATAGTTGCTGGAAAAAAAATGAATTTTAGTTTTTTATGGATTTGTGATGTTTATGAATTTTGGGTTTTTTGATATATGTGTGCAGCTGGGCAATCATAGCTTCCAAATTCAAGGATAAAACAACCAGGCAATGTAGAAGAAGGTCAGTTGATATAAATGTTATAAATTTAGGCACTAACCCCTGTTTTTTCTACTGATACTGCATTTGGTTGCCATTTTTTTTATCTTATTTGAGTTCTGTTATGTAGATGGTTCACTTATTTGAATTCTGATTTCAAGAAAGGAGGTTGGTCACCTGAGGAAGACTTGCTCCTATGTCAGGTATATCATTGAAATCTGATCAATGTTTGTTTTATCTCAGTGCTTAGCAACCTTCTTTGTACAGCCAATGGTAGCATGTTTGATATGGAGAATTGGATAGCATTACAAATGTAATAAGCTAAAGTTTTGTTCATTTTATTGTTTAGTAGTGACCAATAATGCTTACCAAAATGCACCAATGTTGTTTTGAGATATTGTTTGATCAGTTGTTTCTCTTCATTTTTCTTTTTGATTTGATTATCTTTATTTGTGGCTTTATCATTAAGCATTCTATATAAAAATGGCATAGTCGTCAAGAATAAGAAACTTCACCTATTTTTTTCTAGCTGTAGAAGCCTATGAAATTTTGTGGCTACATTAATTGGGGATACTGACCCCTGAAGTGGTTTGCAGGCTCAAAAGATATTTGGCAACAGATGGACTGAGATTGCAAAGGTGGTTTCAGGCAGGTAATTACATAATTCGAGAATTTTCTTAGTATTTTGTTGGATGTTAGGGGAGATAGTTTTTATAATAATGTATACATCCTATGTTACTCGTTTCGTACAGAACTGATAATGCTGTGAAGAATCGGTTCACTACTTTGTGTAAGAAGAGGGCAAAGCATGAAGCCTTAGCAAAAGAAAACAATGCTTCATACATCAACCTAAACAACAAAAGGGTTATTTTTCCAAATGGGTTCAATGCAGAGGAAGCATCTGAATGTGCAGCACCTCTTAAAAAGATGAGGTAGATTAATTTAACATGCTTTAACCTTTCTAGAAAATGTAATTGAAATCCAAAATAACATTTTTTTTTATTTACTAGGTCCTACATCTCGAATCCTACTGATAATTGCCACCAAGGGGAAAAAATAGTTACAAAATATCTATTTAGACCCCCTTTTGCAGTATTGGCACAAAACTCCCATAGTAATGAGGGTAAATTGCCAACTCACTTGGATGTCAACCACGTAAACGAGGCATCAATTGATGGACGTGAGTTTGGTCTTATTTTTTTGGAGTACAAAATCTTTTATATTGTTTCCAGTTCAGCACTTCAAAGCCACATAGATTGAAGTGAATGAGTAATCAGGACATATTTGTTATGCAACAGTGCAGCTTTTAAATGTACATAAAGTTTAAATTCAAAAATCATATATATCATTCTGGATATCCTTATGCAGTTGGAAATGACAAAATTCAAGGAAGCTTTCTTAAGAAGGATGATCCAAAGATGCTTGCATTGATGGAGCAAGCAGAATTACTCAGCTCACTTTCAATCAAACTTAATTCAGAAAATACGGATCAGAATCTCGAAAATGCCTGGAATGTAAGAAGAAATGTTCTGATGTTGTTTTGCCATGTGTCAAATTATTTCAATATCAGCCATTTTATCAGATTTCTTATGAAAAAGCCAAAATGGTGAATAAAATTTCTTTATTGCTCATTCTGAGATTAATGGGATAACCAGAGATCGTCCAAATTTCATTACAATCTCCAAACTATATTGCAAAATAGTCAAAATTGCAAAGCTTTACAAAGTTTGAAGTGTAGGAGAGAATATTGTTTCCATGTTCAGCCTTCTGTTGACACTTCTGAAGGAATAAAATTAACAGAATATTTTATTTCTAAAATAAACTTCCCATTCTCATTGGCAACACAACATTGTCGTTAATCAACATACATTGAAAACTATTTTATCAGGATAAAATGTTTACTACTTCAATATTTTCCAGGTTTTACAGCATTTTCTGAAGCAAAACAAAGATAGTGATCTGCTGGCATATAAAATTTCTGATGCCGATTTGCAGCTAGAGAATTTCAAAGAGTTGATGGAGAATTTGATTAAGAATGAAGGCAGTAAGCCATCTTGGAGGTAATTAAGTTAACTACGGAGATGAAATTAGTGTGAGAGGCTCGATTAGACTGGAAAATTTAATTGACACTTGTACAGGCAACCTGATTTATATGATGAGTCCCCTGCCAGCTCAGAATACAGTACTGGATCAAGTATGCTATCTCATGCTCCCGGTGAAATTCCTGAAGAATGTCTAGCCAAACGACGTACATTTCATCATGAAACTGGGCTCGAGTTACAATCAAGTCAGTTGGGTGATCAACCAAGTCTTGCTAAGGAAAACAGAATATGTATAGCTGGCACAAATGAAGGTATAAGGTTTACCAATATTTAACTGTAGGGGTCATTAGCTGAGAAAGTCATGAATTGTTACTTTAAGCTAATGCCTCTTAAATTTTTTTTTCTTTTTCCAATTTTACTGCAGAGAACAACTTGTTATCAACTGGTGAAGTAAAAGCTAACAATGGAGTTGTGGGTGAATATACAGAATTCAGTTCCCCTCTTCAAGTGACTCCACTATTCAGGTCGTTGGCAGCTGCAATTCCCAGCCCGAAATTTTCAGAAAGTGTAAGAAACCTAAGCTTTATTATTTACTTCATAATAAGCCACAGTAATAAGTTCTAGCATTGGCAACATAATTTAAACAATGCTTCAGTAATAATATCAAGGGAACCAATAGGAGGTTCGACGTGATTATCGATCTTTCAAAAAAAATCTAATCTGCAGAATGTCGAGCCATTTGTTGTGGTGGCTGTGGCATTTTTTGAAGTCTTTGTGCCCTGATTATATATGTCTTGAATTTTAATGTTGCTTTGCTCCATATTTAATCTTAAGTTAAATGTGTGGATACTTGAAACTTATTTAGAACGTTCATAGCTCGACTTACTTTGTTGCCAATTATACTTTGGACTATCAGATCCACACTGTAACAGTTGCAACAATATACCAGAAAGGCCAAACAACTGCGTGGTAGATTTCCAAAAACCCACTTATCTCCCTGTATGTTGTAGAAAAAGGCAAAAGAGTGGATGTTTCTTTCTTTCATACTAACCACTCTGAGTAGAACTCTTATATGTGTTGGCACTTTTCAGTCAGCATTAGAAAAATTTGCAGGGGAATTCAATAGAAGTACATCAGACTAGCAAACTGAGGCGGCAATGAGTAGTAAACAATGTTGAATACTAAATTTAAATAAATGAACTTGTCCCCTCTATGTCACTATCCATTTATGAAAATTGTGCACTTGTATGTGAGTAGGCATGTTGAACAATTAATTTACATAAATGAATGATTCCTTTCTCTATCAGCATTGGCTTTTATAATTTGAGCTTTAACTTACAACTATGCTCTCGAAAACGAATTGAAATGCACATAGTGGCTATGTCTGACTGGAAAGAAGAGAAACCCTTACGCCATTTATCAACTTCTTTATATTGTTCAGCTTCTTGACTTAACTCCTACTCACATCATTCCCTAGTTACCCGAATTAGTATCAAATTTTTAATTTAAACTTTTGATTTCAATTTTCAGAAAATGCTCATTTTGAAATGCATCAACGATGCTAGTGCATGCTTGCAGTTTTCTTTTATCCTGAGATTAGGTTCTTTATTTTTGCATGTAATTTAACCTGAAGGTTTTTTACCAACAACAGAAAAAGATTACAAATCACCATATCAATGAATCACTTTTATGTGTAGTTTTGATGTATCTTGTATTAAACAAACTTAGGAGTATAATTAGTCATTTAAATGTTATAAGATCCTTAAACTGGCCGCTAACAAAAGTTAATTATGTTTCAATGAGTTTTTCAACATCATATCTTTCCTTGATAAATATCTATTGCATAGTATTAGATTGTACTATTGAATAATAGACAATATTTTAACTTCTTATTTCTTAGTTTCTTTTTAATCCACTAAACTAAACATGTCATTAGAGTGAATATGCAATGAAAGACTTACCCGTCTATTTTTTATGCATTGTTCAGGAGAAGCACTTCTTAATGAAAACATTTGGGATGGAGTTACCATTCCCAAGTCCAAGCACCAATCCTTCCCAAGCTCCACCTTGCAAAAGGTCCCTCCTCCATTGTCTCTGACCAGCCTCACTTATTAATCTTACATGCAATATTTTGCAGAATTCAGAATCATCACTACTCATCGGGAGTTTTCAACATACGTAGAACATTTTGATTAATCTTTTGGAGTTCTTCGTCCTCGGATTGAAGCCATCTCGACCTGAGTTTTTTTTTAAATAGGCTTATGAAGATCTTCTTTGCAATCTATGGTGCTAAGGAGCATTCCGGTATTTTCGTTTTTTGTGAAGATTGATTGCTGTGATCTGCATCCTTCAGAGAGTTGTCGACCTAATACTTACATTGGTTCCCGTTTGCTATGTTTTTGTGTGTCATTCTTTTGTTTGTCTTGTCACGGAACTCGGATATGGCTTTCTGTTGTTCCCAAAAGTTTTTTGGCTAGATAAGCCGATTGTACAGGCCCCATACTTCAATTCTTTAGTTATTCGGAGTTCATTATACAATTACATCTCGCCAACTATACCCTTCAGAGATCGAAAAAAGAAAGATGAAAAACAGGAGACAGAGAAGAGGACCAACCAGTTGCTTTGGGCTCCTATTTACTGCACTTTGATGTGCACAGAACTATGTAACAAGTTTTCATGGTGTGTTAGATATTGTTGTATTCCCTACCTTATGGAATGAAGAATTTATACAATTACTGTTGTGCAGATTTACATATTTCTAGTCTGGTTTATTTTCTGAGAAGGACTCATTGCTGTCAATTTGAAGATATCTGAAAGCAAGAACAAACCATAAACAGAATTCTAAAGCACCAAAGTTTAATAAGCATGCTGCCTAAATACAAGAGTTTAACTGAAAATTCTACTTACTGATTGCTCGACCTATTTCTGTATTGCTTTATTTCCCGTGATGTATCCATACTTGGACATTCTTCTCTTTCTCTGCTCGTCACTCTTCTGAGCTATGTAAAGGGGGTGGGGGTGGATTTTGTGGGGAAGAAGGGGTATTTAACATGGTCAAATGTATCCTTGGAGGACGAGAGTGATGATGAACAAAGCAAAAAGGCTATTGGTAAAAGAGGGAGGGAAGATTGTGCAAAATAAAGTTATTGCTGTCACCCTCAAGATTTTGGTTTTTTAAATTTACTGAAATGCCTAGTTTGACCTTGAATCTCCTGTTTGCAGTGATTGAATCTTGGGGACAAAGTAGTAATCAGATATCCTCATATGATCATACTGTGGCCTACCATTTAGAGACCTCGTTATCTTGGACAACTTTAATTAAGGGTGATGGCTGGTCCTTATTATTTGTACAATTATAATTAGGAGTTGTTTGAACCTCTTTTTTTTTTTTTAAAAAGATGCATTGTTTAATAGTGTTACGATAAAGAATGTGTGGTTAAAAGATAATGAAAAATTATGGGTTGACATGTGATATTATTTTATGAAAAAATGTATGGTTAAAATGAATCAAATTACTGTAGAAGAATGCATTTTGATGAAAAAATGGGGTTCAAATAAGGGCTTAATAAGGTCTGCAAAGTTCTTCAAAAGACAGAAAAAAGAGTAATAATATTTATGATCATAATGATGGAATATCGGTGATATGACAACTCATTATCCCTCACAACTCTCTCTCTCTCCTCCCCCTCTCATAAAAATTGAACTGTTTAATCTCATTATTTCACATAAATTGTCACATCACTAATATTTCATTATTATAATGATAAATAACATCATTTGAGATAAAATGATTCAAAATTTGATTTACTAATATCTCAAAACATCTAGTTAAGTATAATTTAATTTCAAATTCGGAACAAAATAATGATAGTATAAAAAATCTTTAAACGAAATAGCATGTCTATATTTTTATGACAGTTTTATAAACCAATAGAATTTGACCCTTCTGCCCTCATTCCAATTGTCGCTCTGGAGGAATATGTGCATCTAAAAGATCTCGTTCGAACAATATGGACAGGTGTGCAAGGTTGATTAATAAATAAATAAAAAAAAGATGAGCCGCATTCTTGACAGCCCCCACCTGCCCTGCCCTGAGCTTTGGTGAAAAAGGTAAATCGCAGATTATGCCTCCAAGAATACAGGGTAGAAGGCTGCTTGTATACTTGCACTTACCCAAGGGCCAAATTCATATTTCAGGATTCGAACTCTTGACGCGGCAGCCTCAAGCAAATGTGGAATTTTTCCACCTTCCCCTTTTACCACTTGGAGATGTCCCCTGCGGGCTGTAAGGTTGATTAATAGTAGTGACCTAAGATGGTGTACACCATACGAGCAATTGTGAGCACGAAGACTAAAACTACAGCAATGACAGTGAGATTTGTACAAAGATCACATTGTTTACTACGCTTTTTGCAATAGAAACTTAATGCACACAATGATTATAGTAGCATGATGGGTAAAATTTTCGAAGAGTCTATTTCACAATACATATGTAAGCCTTATAATAGGGTGAGTAGCAGGTGTTTGAGAAAAGAACTCGAGTAAATGAATATGATGATTAGTAATAAGCAAAAATCAATTATATATGCTACAAATATTTATTAGTTGATGCTAAGAATGTAAAACAAAAATTGAACCTTGTTTTCAATAGTAACTAGCTTCTGAAGAATGAACAGAGACAACTTGTTTTCAAGTATTAACATGTCGAGTTTAAAGCAGTGACGGACGTAAGCATTATAAGTTAGGGGATACAATCAAACTCTATACAGATCGAATACTTTGTCCCTAATTTTTGAATGATTTATACTTGATTCGAGAAAACGTAGATTTATATGTTTAAAAAACATTCATTCATTAATATTTTGCTCATCATTTTAATCAATTTGATTTCGAACAGTCATTTCATTAATATTTTGTTCATCACAAAAAAAATGCATATTTACATTTAAAGAATATATAATGTAATTGATACAAACAAACAATTAAATCAATCAATTTAAGTAATAAAAAGGAAAAACATATAATCAATATTCAATACTAACAATCAATAAAATAAACACAACTCGTTAAATATTTATTCAAATTGGACATAATCATTTCAGACATATTCTATATACACGATTTGATAAGAGAAAATGCAAATTTAGATTTTAATGGTTCAGAATTTAATTGGGAAGTGAAGATTTGTAGAGAAACTATAGACAAATTTTAAAACATTAGAAGGGTTAAGATTTTGATAAATGGCATTGAGGAGAGAGTCGCTATAGCGTAAGTGAAAAGAGAAAAGGTTCAAATCTATTATGATTTTTCCCCTGTTTGGTGGAGATCAAAATCAGATTTTTAATAAATTTTGATAAAAGTTGAAAAGTTATGGGTTCCATTAAACATGTTATTAAAGTTAATTATTAACTTTGATTTAAATTAAAGTTTAGATTTTAATATATACCAAATGGGACTTTATCAAAAAATAAAAAATAATAATCCCAAAAGTTGGGGGGTCACAGGACCCCCTTATGTCTGCCCCTGGTTTAAGGTGGGTCATCTCAAAAAACATTCCATGTCCACAGAGGATGATCACTCGGAGCATAGTTTAGAGTTTGATTGGCTGAATGCAATATTTCAAACATAAAATAACCATCCATAAACATAATTTTCAATAATTCATTATCATCATCATCTTGACGTACTAAATACAATTGATCATAAACATCCTTCAAATTCTAGAAGAATTTCCTCATTATCTTCTAAAGAACTAAATCATAGCCTTTTTTTGTGCTCCTCCATTGATTTCAAATGTTCCTCACCACAATGATAAGGACTAAATGGAACTATGAGCGTAATGTAGGACTTCTTGTTCGAATCAATGGTGTTGTCATGTATTTTGTTAATGGATGGCTACTTCAACTATGTTGGTTATGTATGTGTCATTTTATCCAGTTCTTAATATATCTAGGCCTTGTATGGAAGGGATTAAAATCGGATTAAAATTTTCTTTATAATATTATTTAAATATATGATGCGTGGCCCGAAAAATGTGATTTTTAGTCTGTTTTGCTTGCTAGTCTATACGTTCTTCAGTTTCTTTATGTTCATAAGAAATAGAGAGCCGAATTATTAATTTGGTTACAGAATTAATTTCGGTTTCTCTATGTTCGTAAGAAATAGAGAGTCGAATTATTAATTTGGTTACAGAATTAATGTGGCTTTTTGCCGATGTTATTAATGAAATTTTAGAATTCAACATATATTTTGGGTTATATTGATTACGAAAGTTTGGTAATTTACTAATCCAGTAGAGAAGAATTTTTTTTTTTTATTTCTGATTTCATTTTTCATATATCTATTTGCGAGAGCTTCAATTTTATTTCTTATTTACTATATATGAATCAATTTTGAGTCTTGACCTATGCTAGTAAGAGTTGTGTGGAAGAATGAAGATTGACCTATACTTTGTTTTCATTTTTATTTGGGATATTGTTTGCTATATTGGTTTAGTATTGTGTTTTTATTTTTATTGACTTTTCTTCATAATTTTTTTTTCACAATTTGACGGTTGGAGTTTGGACTTATAAAAAATAATTTATTTTCGTGGTTATTAACCGAACCGAACATACTTGTGTGGTTATGGTGCGGTTATGATATGGTCAAAATTTTGGTGGTACGGTTATAGTTTTGGCCGAACCGACCCCGAACCGAACCGTTGCCATCCCTATTCTCACCCCTACCGTCCACTCCAGTTAATTTTGCCATTAATTCCAATTAAAGAGTGTTAAAATGAAAAAGTTTAAAAGGGAAAAATCACCATTTAATAAAGGTCTGTTTGCCTGGAGTATGAGAGTTTTATGCAAGAAATGAAATGTTAAAGAGGCAAGATTTCCGGTCCAAACCCACAATCGACGTCCAATAATTCTCCTTCATCCACGATTGGAACGATTTCTTTCAGACATGTGAAAGTACATCAACAAGACATTCTACAGAAACTGTTTGCAACAATAAGTGATAGACACTGCATTTGTATTTGGAATGTATGCTTACAAATTTTTAAATTTTGAAATGGGATTCTGAAATTAGTTGATTTTTGTTATGTTTACAGTTTCATCCTTTTTTTTATATTGAGAATGTATGCTTCTAGAGTAGGAGGTTTTGAAGATGCTCCAGAATATTATAAATGTCTCTATTTTGACGGTTTCAAAATGATGTTTTTGGTTCTTTTTTTTTTACGTGCTCTTGTTCGAATTTTGGTTTATTACGTGTGCACATGTTGATAGTTGTGGGTGTCGAACTATTTCCAATACTAATTAATTTTTCATGTTCATTCAACCGGATATAAAGACTACTTCACAATAGCTATATACAGTGGGGGTGTTTTATTCGATAAGCTAAAAATGTAAAGTAGGAACACGGTATGGTGATGTTCTTGGATGTAAAGTCGGACTATTTCAATAGGAATTGGTTTGAGGAATTTGCATATGTGTTTAAAGATTGTGGGCTTGTGGACATTTATATCAGGATGTAGAAAGTTAATTTAGATAGTGCTTTGAGAATGTTGCGTAGTGAATCAGATGTAAGGGAAATGATGAAGGACATTAAATGACACAAATTGGTTGAGATTTATGTGGTAGTATGTAACGAAGCATATCTACTACCTTATGAACCTTGTTAAGAACCAGTGCAAGATGTTATAAAGAGTAGTACCCGTAATGAAGGGGGTAAAACTAATACTGAATGTTGTTATATCCCGGTGTTTGATGTGAATGAAGGCAGTGCGGTTGAGCATGACATTGGTGCCTATGTACTTGAAAATGTGGAGGAGGCATGGTGACAATTTAAAGAAACATTTACAGATGATGCTAGAATTGGTAATGTAAAACCAGAGCAAGCTAATGAACATAGTGATGATGAGAGAATGGACAAACCGATGGAAGATTTTGTTGAGATTGACCATGAAGTTGATGATGAACAACCAATTACTAATGAAGAACCAATTAATCTTGATTTCGATTTTGGTTTTACTTTGTACGATGGCAAGAAGTTAGAGATACGGACACTGATTATAGGGATTCAGATGAGTTAGAAAGTATGCGTTTCATATTTTAAGGCATTAAATATATTTTTATATAAAAAAAAATTTTTTTTACCAAAAAAAAAAAAAAAAAATTTTGTTCTAAAATGCGCCGCCTAGGCGTGCCTAGGTGCGCTAATGCGGGCNAGGCGTGCCTAGGCGCGCTAATGCAGGCTAATGAGCGCAAATGCGTGCCTAGGCGCGCGAATTTTCGAACAAAAAACGTCAAACACGCATTTTCCGCGCATTGCACCAATTCGACGCGTTTGATCCGCGCATCGCGCCTAGCGGCACATTTTCGCGCCTTTTAGAACACTGATTTTGGGGCATAAAATTAAATCCAAGCATCCAATTTGAGTTATATAAAGTGAACACTTGGCTTATACTTTTCCAATGTAGGACAAGTGATTTTTCATTTTCCCAACACTTCTAAATTCAAGCGGCTCACTTTAACCTTAATTCCCAATTCATCTAAAATTGATATACTGAGTTATTCTACTTGTGGAGTAGAACACATTTGACTAATGAACTCTCTTTGACTAATGGATACTACTTAAATAATTGGCCAAAATTGGTCAAAACCAGTTTATTTAAAATTAATTGCTAACAATTCCCCACATCAACGAAAATTACTAAAAATGCAAATAATAATGCATATACTAAAAGAGAGTACAAATAGAAAACTATTGCATCAGGCGAGTTAACCTCTGACTTTGAACTTGCCTTAGTAGAATACTAATGGATTTACTTGACTAATCTCTTGAACTGTTTAGAGTTGGCGTAAATAAAGATAATTGTAATGACACAATATCTTTTCTAGTACTTTCAGTTCTCATTACTGTGTTCATTTTGACTTTGAACAACTCCTGGGATTCGCAAGTGCTTTGAAAAATTTCAATCTCAAGAATTCCCATATAAACATCCATTTCCACACTTGCACATGCGCCCTTTTATTAAGATACTATGGCATACGTCAATTGACTCATCCAAGCTCTAAGAATCACTAATTGTATAGCTCAACCTTATACATTATGTAGAAAGTACTTCTTCTTATCATAAGAATGAGAAGAAGACAACTCCTAGGCGGTTCATGGAATCTTTAGAACTTAGTTGTCTCGTTAAACCAAAATCTTCGAATATCTAGACAACAAGGTTGGATTACTATTATAAATATTAAATAGTAGATTTTAAGCACATGCTCTTCAATAGACAATATACTTGATTTCTTGGTGAACATTTTGTAAATGGATCTGTCCCTTTAATTTCATATAATAGATAGAGATAACATTATTTGAGATCAATTACTTAATGATATTATGTGTATTGCAATGTATATGTTGACACTTAAAATTAGGAAAAGTCTACATGTACATAATATATGTAAATAATAGTGTCCATAATGTGATGTTGACAAAATCCTGTTATTGATGTGAAAGTGTGAGATTTGAATTAATGTTGGATCCAGTGCCACATGTAATTATGGACACCATTATGTATAGATTTATGTACATGTAGCACTTCTCTTAAAATTATACATACTATTTTGGGTCATTTCAATATTTAACTGATTCTCCAATATATACTAATTTTGGGTACTCACTCAAGCCAACACAATGTCGTCTAAGAAATTTACAATATTATTCTACTTCTTCTCTAACTTTATCTAAAGTTGCAAACTCAGATTCCATAGTTGATTGAGCTCATATCAATTTGACATTGATATAAGTAGAAAATTTTTGCAATTTTTACTCTATATTTGCTTATATCAATACCAAATGAATAACTCATATGGTTGTGTTGCAAATGTTGTGGCTACGTAACTATTGTTCTTTTGTAAAATTCGAAAGTAGATTTCGATAAAAATTGATGAAATGTGTGGTTAAAAAGTTGTGGGTCATATTAAATATGTGATTAAAATTAATTATTGACTTTAATTTAAATTAAAATCTAAATTTTAATCCCTACTAAATTGTAAACTAATAAGTTTTTCATTATGTGCATATCTCAATGGACTTTGCCATTTGTACATTTTCAACTTGTAATTTTGTCAAAAAGTGAAGTGGATGGAATGATTTTTTTTTTTTTTAAACTATCAAATGACAATTTGCCATGTGACAAAGTGTGAACAAAGGTGTGAACAAAGGTGTACACCAAGCATGATTCTATTTGAATTCGCCATTTACATATTGACATTTTACATTCAAAAAAAAAGTGTGAACAAAGGTGGACACCAAGCATGATTCTATTTGAATTCGCCATTTACATATTGTTAACTCAATACTCCAATTTTATATTTCAAACACTGGAATTGTAATCTTTCAACATATTTATGCATTTTATTTCATCTATCCAAAATTCGTTCATTATCAAAGATCTAATTTAATCACCACACCGTTCGGCGCTCGATCCTCCACCAGTAGGCAATAAGATATAGGTCTTGTCTGGGCACAATTAAAATTGAAATTTGTACCATTGCTACAGTACTCGCCCACCCTTTTTTACTTTGTTTAGTCACACATTCAGCCACCTTTCTGTGATTTTTTGATCGTTGCTTCCTTCAACGGAATAAAAATCGATTTTATTGCAGATTAAAATCGCGCACAGACAGGCGCATAATAATGTCTAAATCTGCCTCATTGGATGAATTAATTTAATAAAGGATGGATATGAGTAGAAAACTAGCCAGATAAAAATAATCCAAATAATAAAGGATGGATATGAGTAGAAAACTAGCCAGATAAAAATAATCCAAATAATGTCATACACCGTATTAAGATAATTTTAATTCTATACAATACAATACGATATATACCAAACGCACCCCGAAGAGTATCCACCTTGCTTAAAGAGTTATTCTTGGCATCGAATGAAGGCAGAGTAGCTTGGCTTTTGGTCAATCACTTCAACATGAGCAATTATTTTTTCAATTGCCAGTCGTACGCATGTGATTTTTAGCGAGACAAAATTATGCATAATAAATGCAGTTGAAATAAGCAAAAAGAAGCTAATTTTTAACTTTTAAGCTAAGCCAAAAATGCTTATAATAACTGAACAAAAATTTCATTTGACCAACTCAGATGCACACAAGAATCCATAGGTACTAAAAATGCAATCAAAACTTCTACTGGTGGGCTTCTTTATATAGAAATGTATCTACTGTCTATATATTATATCTAATCAGTTGCATTCTCCTATTCTGATAATAAAACCACAAAGCCTCATGATCAGTATCTTATCAGAGGGGAAAAAAAATACCTATTATCTTAATTTCAACAATACTGGTCTTCCTCACATTGCCTTCTTTTTCCTCTGCATTCTCTGCAATTTTCTCCATTTTAAATATATCTGGTAGGATAATCCTGAGAAAACCATGACAACACTTCCCCATTGCTTATACGACAGAGGATTGCCACTCAGCAGTGAAGATACCATTATGCTTACAAATTTCCGTGTTGTGGTTATTGTCGTGTTAGTCAATGAACCAAATCGACTAATGGTTAAAAATATGAAATTTTGGCCAACCGCACCACACAAACAATAGAGGAAAATGTCCCATGCTGCCTCTGGATGCTGCTTGCAGAACTGAATTGCCTCAAATCCGATGGCATTTGGCCAGCCGAACATGAATATCATATTATAAATGGTACCCCATATATTCATTCCTAGCATTATATTCCAAGCACTCGTCTTTGGGTACCTGAATAGTATAGGCAAATTCTATTGGTAACTGTAAAAGATATCGCATCAAGCACTTTTTAAGTTACAGAAAAATGGATTTTATGTCTGTTAATAGCGAGAATATAATCGACTAGCAATATGTTATACATGTTAAGTTTTTGTAGATGTGCCAACCACAAATTCAGAGTAATTGGCCCCAGAAAAATTTTAGAAGTTAGGGATAGATCAAAAAGTCTACTGAATAATCATTTGAGTCTGTGCACAGGACAAAACTTAGAGAAGCATTTCAGCGGGACCAACAAATTATCACCTGGCCTTAATTGAATCCTGTGTGGCATTGGTGAATCCATCAAAAGCAAGGTTCAGAAAACAAAGCCCATACCCAAGTGGAGCATTTGGGTGTGCTAGTTTGCTTATTGTCTTTGAGCTAGTCTGAAAGAAAGAATAAAATCACGATTAAGGTTGAAGTTTAAAATCAGAATGTTAGTTTACCAATCAAAATACAGGTGAGTTTTAGTGTTAAGGGAGAAAAAAAAGAGAGGCCATTTCTTTTTTGTGTTTGCAAAAGATACAATTCCATTAGATCTTTTAAAATATGTAGAAATGAATAACAGAGTGGTAAGAAAGGAATCCTGTAGCCGATCCAAATTACCGGGTATAAGAATCACAAGTTACTCCTCATTTTCATCTTTTAGGTTGCACTTAGGTCAGCAAGAGACAAATCGTAATGGGGATCACTTTTCCTCTCAATACTTTCCTTTCTTCTTTTTTAATTTAATCAGAGACGTTAGGTTGAAAAGAACAAAAACTATGTTTGGTTCATCTCTAGGGGATCATAGATTTAAACATTTTATGGTTCCTGACAAAAAGATTAGGCAGTTCACGAACCAAAAGGACAAATTTTTAGTAGGATGCAAGATCGTAATCTAGATAATCACCTTTGTAAGTGCGAACACGGATACCCCTCCAGCAACAAGTAATGTACAAAGATACTCTGGAAGGGTGTATCTAATTCCATAAACTAGTGTACCCATCAGCATAACTGCAGAAAGAAAATGTCAATTAATAAGAACAGTTTTAAGGTTTTCCACTGATCCCAAACTAAAATTCACCCCTAGGAAATTCCAGCACTTTAAGCAACGTGATTATATCAGACTTTCCCATTACAATTATGTACTGTTTACCAAAAATGGTCCCTGACACACTGAGTATGCCCCCACAACCCAGTATTCAATGAGATTCCAATATAAATTCTCACATTGCTCTTTTCTATAATGTAATTTAATGTAGAGCAAAGCTAGTTTATGGACAGATGTAAAGAGATATTTATAATTTCCTTGAAGAAGTAAACACGAGAGCTTCTAATCACAATCAGATATTTGAGAGAGATCAGCAAAATTTTGAATTAGTTCACTCTAACTGAAGTGCAATGTATATATCATCTAGGAGGACTTGACCGTTCAATTTAGCAACAAATAGTCACAGCTCACCTGGAATCATTTTGGAGGATTTTGCCAGCACCTGCACATAATAATGATGAGGTTAGTCTATAAACACCATTGTACATAAAAGTTTATTTCATAAATTATTGTTTAACATTCAAATTATCTTCTGACTGAACTTCTCAAAAAGTAGCCAGAAACACAGCCCTCACATGTCAGATTATCTCTTGGACATATCTTCCATTCGAAAAATCATTTTAAATTACACTTTACATGGCTTTAGTCTAAATCATATGAAACTCTAGTTCCTTTTGTACAAAGGCCATGTGTCCTACCTGTATGACAGTTTCCGAAAGCATGTTTAAAACTCAAAAGAGAGAATAGGAAATAAGATTACGAGTGGAGTCAAGAATTGTTTTAGGGAGGCAACACGCATATACAATACTTAGATTCATTCACTCAAGCATATTTCACCTCTGGAATACTAGATAAATCAAGTTGATCGACATAAACATCATATGAAAACATTATTACAAACATGACCAACTAGATTAAACACTTAGCATTCAGATTGTTTTATATTTATGCTTGTACTTTTAGTTTCAATATTTGAAACCTCAGCCAGAGCATTCCAACTGTCCAAGAAGTGGACTTCATGTATTTTGAGACATGAGTTAACTATGTCGAAAGATTAATTACAAAGCAAAGTAGCCATGAAAAACATAGAAGAGCAAATATTATCATTATAGGTAACAAACACTGCAAAGCAAGTTGAAAACTCGCAAATCTCAAACATGCCTGAGCAGGGTAACTAATATACTTCAGTGCTTCAATCCCCATAGCCGGGCCAATTGTATTTGTAATACCGGCACTCCAGTAACTCCACCAAGGAGCACCATCACCACCATTGGACCATATCTTTATCACTGCACAATTATAACATTGCAACTATAAGCATGCATTCCAAGACCAAAATAAGTGAATAAAAAATGAGTACCTCAGAAACTTACTCATAAATGACCAAATAAAACAGAATACATTTTGTGCTAGATTCAAGAACGCCAAGTGCTCGAACCTCTTCTTGTCGGGACCAAATCTCTTTGTCGACCTAAATTAAATTCCACCACAAATTCAAAATTAATTAGCGTACACTGTCAATAGTTAATTAAAAGACCAAAAAAAAAAAGCATATTCACACCGACAGAACAAAACGATCAAGCACATTATAAGATAGCTAGAGATGAAAGACCAAATTAATATCATAAAGCAATAAAAATAAAAAAATTATTTTTCAAAATCTTCATATTTTCCCCCAAAAAACAATTTCCCGACAATTAAATCATTTGACAGAACAAAAGATACATAAATTAGAGTCCCAATGAAATTAATCAATATTATTATACAAATAAATGAAGCTTTAAATATTAATTTACAATGCCTTACACGGTCTCTTGGAGGACGCCTTGGTAAATGTAAGCAGACCAAATGCCAGCGACACAAACGGAAAGGAGCAGAACGCGGCGGAGTCCGGCTCCATGAGACTCCATTGCAAGAAACCACCAGATCGCCGCAGTAAAACGGAACCCTAAGATCACCGGACTCAATTTTTATTTTTTCCTTTTTGATTATTGTGTAAATATTTCAACTGCCGGTGCAATTTTTGGTTGGTTTGTTGAGCTGTGGAGATTAATGGAGGAGAAGTGGGCCCCGAAGACGTTGATTTTCCACGTGGAGAGTTACTATTGGTTGCAGTGACAGAAAGTAAAATGCTATTGGTGTAGAAGACGCATTGCCCTTAACGGGCTTTTTATTCGGGTTGGGTATTGTAAGCCCGATTCTGTCCGGGTTATTAGTAACGTATCGTATTAATCCCAAAAAAGAGAAATTATAATAATTCAGGTGTTTAAAGATTGGAATTCAAAATTCAGGGACCAAATTTTATTATTCAAAAATCAGGTGGTATAAAATCTGTTTAACCCTAATTATTTCCCTTCCCCCTCCCCTCTCTCTTTCTCCCTCCCCTCGCCTCCCCCTCTTCCCCTCTCTTTCTCCCTCCCCTCGCCTCCCCTCTCTCTTCCCTCCCCCTCCACGGCTCTACCCCCCTCCCCACCCTCTCTTTGCTGCGAATCGCAGCGGCGCTGCTGCAGCGCCACTGCGATTCGCAGTAGTGGTCGCTCGCTGCTTCGCCTTCGCAGCAGCGACGTGCTGCTGCGACCGCTGCGAAGGCGAAGCAGCAGCGACCGCTGCTTCGCCTTCGCAGCAGCAGCGGCCGCTGCGAAGGCTGCGCAGCAGCGAAGCAGCACTTCGCTGCTGCGCCCCACAGCAGCGTCGGCGTCGCGACGCTGCTGTGGGTGGTGGTTTGAGGTGGAGCAGCTGGGGTTGGTCTATTATTGTTGGGGTTGGTGGATCTATTGTTGTTGGCCGGCGGTGGTGGTTGTGGTTGGCCGTTGGTGGTGGTGGATCTATTGTTGGCTGGTGGTGGTGGTTGGCTGTTGGTCTATTTTTGTTTGGATTGGTGGATCTATTGTTGTTGGCTGGTGGTGGTGGTTGTGGTTGGCTTTTGGTGGTGGTGGATCAATCGATGTTGGGGTTCAGTCGTGTGTTTTGTGGCTGGGTAGTCTGTGTTGGTCGATCTGTGACCTGTGACCAAGTATCGGCAATCTGTGACCAAATTTTTGTCATTCTGTGACCAAAATTTTGTCAATCTGTGACCAATTACTCAAATGTGACCTAAAATTTTAATAATCTGTGACCTCGAAATAATATGTGACCAACTAATTTAAAAATCTGTGACCTCAAAATAATTCGTGACGTAAAATTTTTTGATCTGTGACCTCGAAATAATATGTGAACAAAAATTTTGACGATATGTGACCAATAAATAAATCTGTAACTTATAATTATGAATATGTGACAATTAATCACAAACTGTGACTTTATTATCTTTATTTAATCAATATTTTTAATTAATTAAATCATACCTGATTTTTGAATTTTTAAACTATTTACCTTATTTTTGAATTGGGGTAAAGAAAACACCTTAAATATGATTTTTTCCCCCCAAAAAACCCGTTTGGTGCACATATATTTTAAAAAGAGTACATTTTAACTATTGATGTGATTGAGAATATGTAGTTGAAAAAGAATGAAAAGTTATAGATGTGATGAAAAATATTATTTTATTAAAAAATGTATGATTAAAAATAAGTAGAATAATGAGAATGAAAAAAATAATGTAGCTCAAAAAGGGCCTAAGCCACGTTCTTATTTTCATTTTCATTCTTCTACTTATTTTTAACCACACAGTATTCAATAAAATAATATTTTCCATCACATTAATAATTTTTCATTCTTTTTCAATCACATATTCACCATAACATCACAAAAAAATGCTTTCTTTTCATTTTAACTTGTATCAAGCACATTCTAAATTTTTTCACCAAAATTTTTACAATTTGGAAATTCAGTTAAATTTTATTTGAACAATTTGACGTAGCATTGACGTAAAAGTCTAAAACATAAGACATTCAGTTTTTTACTTAGTCATTATTTGATCTCCATTATTTTCAAATATATTTTTCTCCCTCTTCTTTTCAAACACATATTTTTCAATAAAAATGTTAACACGAAAATTCAAAAATTTTACTTATTTTTTTATTACACATTTTTCATCAATCTACCTTTTCAAAATGCATTCTTAAGCGACCAAAAGTGAAATTAAAAAAAAGAAAAAAATTTAGAGATTGCTTAGTTAAGTTAATTAACTGCTAAGTTATTACCATGAAAAATCGAGCATTAATTTTGCCATGAAACGAAGAATCTAGAAAAGATTATGAACTAACAAATTTAAAGTTTGTTTGTGACACATTCTTTTGAAATAATGTATTATTGAATAGTAGATTGATGGAGAATGTGTGGTTAAAAATGAAGAAAAAGTTATTGATTTGATAGAAAATATTAATTTATTGAAAAATGTGTGGTTGAAAATGAGTAAAATAATGAGAATGAAAAAAATAATGTGTACCAAACATGGCATTAAAATAGTAACATTTTTTAAATTATTTATTAAGTGGAAAATTAATGTAATTACAAAAGTAGGTGAAGGAATTGTTATTTATTCGTACAATTTTGTTGAATCCTACGTACAAAACAGAAAAATATAATTATATTGTTGTACGATATTTCGTGTACTAAAATAGATAAATTGTTACAAATTGTATTTTATAGAAATACAATAGAGATTAATCTTCTTGTATATAGGGAAGTACACGATCCTCTGATTAATTACCTAAATATTTAAAAATGGAGGGCCATGTAGGCTTCAAAATTTGTTGGAGATTTGATTTCATTGAGAACTTGACTTATCTAGCATTGGAGTTTCGAGACTTGGATTTGAACTTTGGAATTTTGATTTGAATTTGCTTTGATTTGAAAAAAAGACTTTAATCTTTTGGACTTATCTTGGATTTGCTTGAATTTGAATAATATTTTGATCTTCTCGGTGTTTCTTAAATTTAGGTTTGACGGAGTTTCTTCTCTTCCCTCTATTTTAAAATTTCTTCTACACGTGATTTTCTTTTGCACATTTCATTTCAACACCTTAGGATAGCACAGTTTTAGAAGGGCGAGGTTCAAATGAGGAAAAACTTATTTGTGGATGCCTAGGGACCTAGAGACGAGGAAGGGTGTAGTAATCGACGAAATGCTTCGAGAAGTTGAAAATAAGCATAGAATTGAAAATTCCCGAATAGGTACCTTTTGAACTGTTACTAAATCTATGGACAGGCAAAAGACAATATGGTGTACTGAAACATCTTAGTAGCCAGAGAAAAAGAAAGCAAAACACGATTCTCATAACAGCAGCGAGCAAAATGGGAGCAGTCTAAATAGTGAAAACGGGGTTGTGGGAGAGCAATACAAGCGTCGTGCATGATTTTTTTTTCGTGGACTTTTGGATATAACCACCCCAATTTTGATTTGATTTGATTTTTTATTTATTGAATTTTAAAACTAAGATAAGTTTTTAATGCAGCTTGAGCTATGGATTTTAAATTTTTTTAGTAAACTTAAACGGGCTGGATATTTAAATTCAACCCAATCCATTTAATTACTTTATTTTATTTTTGATATCTATAAATGTTCCTTCAAAATTTATTTATTTATTATGAAAATAAATAAATTAATAAATCTTTATTTTTGATCTTCAAAATTTAATTTGAAATTTAGACTTGAACCACCCATTAATATTGCATGGGTTGCTATGAATTTGATTTGGAATAGAATTCTTATACTTTAAATTTGAGATCAAAATACTTCGTTTGAAATTAAACAACTTAAATTCAACCACAGTATACATGAAAAAACACAAAACCCAAGTACATTGAATTTCCCTTGCAAAATTATTGAATCATTTAAGAATTTGATAGGGGATAAAACATATTTAAAAAAAAAAAAACTTGGGTGATATCCCGCGGTTAACCTCCACCCATCACTGAGGGGTCGGGGATGGGTGGTCCAGGATATAGTCTGGTGTAAGTTGGGATACCTGGATATCAAAAAAAAAAA